CTTCTGGTGGAACCGACCTTCGAATCTCTTCACCCAACACTTTCAGTCGAAATGGAAGTAAGCTCAACAAAAACATGCTTGTTAAGCTCACTTCCATGTCAAGTGAAAGTATATAATTAAGATCTTCAAAAGACAATCCCACCAAAAGACGACGGCATATTCCTCTTGACCAGCTGTCCGCTGTCGTCTTTTGACGAGATAGGCCTTTAAATCTCTTCGCCAAACACTTTACTCGAAATGGAAGTGAGATCAACAATTATAAATCAGGATATGCCCTGAAAACCAACTTTTATTCGCATAAACACGTGTTTGCTTAATTTAATTTCCTACAGTACATGCAAATTAGAAGAGGCCCGGCTTACCTTTAATGCCGAATCTTTCTTGTCATCCACTAGCCCCCGTGGTTGTGGAGTATACTGTTAACATCACCACGACACGACTCGAGCTCGAGTCCCGCTGGGGCGGCTGATGGAACGCGGGGATGGTCAAAACTATAGTTGAGTCTGTATGAGAGTACTTTTTGGGAAATTCAGCGTAATCTTAAGACATAAAAATCGGATTGTGGGGACAACTATTAGTAATTTAATTACCTTTAACGACATAGGTTGACTAAGTTCTTAGTCGAGGATATTATTTGGCCTATTCAAGCTCCCTTTCCAACTTTTCATTTAATATTTATATCTATCTGTCCCGTAGCGGCAATTTTACCAACCTTTTGTCTTGGCTCTGGCTTCACTTAAGACCTTAACACCAAATAATCATTAATTAATAAAACTCATTTACGTTTGAGTAAGCAACGGAGCAATTAATATAACTTCATTTTTATTGAATAATGCTCAGATTGAATCTGCCAAACGATGACGAGCCTGAAAGAGAAATGGACTTTCTTCCCGACTGTTCTGAGCCGGACAAAATTGTGAGTCGTTTTAATGATCGCTAGTGAATTGTTACCCCTTTGGTAGGCAAGCGGTTGTACATCTTCCTATTATTAATAGGCAAAGTAAACTTCATTTCAGTTCCTTATGGCACAATTAGATTAAGGCACAATCTACATAAAATCTGTTGAGGGCTAAGAATAATCGGTAATACTACTGTTTAGACTAGGCAAAGCTCAAAGGATTGCATTTTCTCCAGACCCTAAAGGAGTTGGATGGATTGGGTTAGATTAATAGCTATATAAAGTAATGCTTTATTCCACATTTACGATAGCGAAAAAATGCGTAGCACAGCTTAAAGATGAGGTTTCACTTTAATGTATCACCTAAAAAGTTTGTTAGGTCTCTATATTTTGATCGATTTACCCTTTGGCGCTCTGTTCGTAACCATTATTAGTCATCACTCATGCCCCTCTCTTCTGTACCATATAAACAAACTCTTATAAGCGAAATACATTATAGCTTCTGTTGGTCTTTGTACTGGATTTCATGCCCGTTTTGCAATATAGCAAAATCTTTATAGAGATGTGTTTTGACCAGTTGACATTTCCGAATAACAGTATAGCAGCTAATGTAGCCAAATTTGCTACATTACTCAACTTTTCCATTTCAGCAAGATAGTTTGTAGTTGTAAAAGAAGAGAAAGCTGACAAGCATGCTAATTCCGCATTGTATTTAAGCATATGTTTGGAAATTTTCACTTGGACGGATGATTTTGCAGTGTATTTTGTGCATTTTTTCTACCAACCTGATGAAGAGTTACTAAGGCCAAAAAACATGATATTTCTTCTAGCACAAAACAATTCAGACTAAACCAAATGACCGAGGTGATCATAAAGCACTTGGTGTCGAGCCTTTTCTGGGTTGGAACAAATTTTTTAGTTAAATTCTGGGATAAAATTTAAAGAAATTAGTCCAATTTGGGCTGTGCCCATAGGCCATTTGTGTTTCTGGCTCTGCTTCAAAGCACTTCAGTTTTTAGGGATTTTTTAATGTTTTTCAAAAGTATCTTCTAAAATGGCCTAATCCGATTGAAGGCCAATATGAGAGTATTGATACAATCAGTGTAGCATTATTTGTGGTTTGTTTATTTTGATAATAACATGGCGGCCTCGTTATCACTTGTATGATGTTAAGAAGCACCGTTTGATTCTCTACTCCACACTTGATTAGAATATTTTGTTGTCGGTTGAGCAACTAATTTTGGCTTTGTCAATTCGTTTCATGTTGTCTGAAGCAAAAGCCTTTCCTTTCCATTTTATTTTTCACTTGTTTTCATTAAACCATACCGCGTTAACTTTTCGTCTGTCACAAAACCTCTGGAAGCATGAGTCACGTGATTTTGACTCATTTCTGACAAGGGAACCGCGACTTTAGCAAATATTCTCCTAAAAATCGTCTAGCTCTCGGTATGTAGGGGAGAGAGGTGGATTTTCCTTTCAATTAGCCCAACAACCGAGGCAATTGAAGGTGATCGGCTGATCATCCACTTTAGACCAACTCCTGAGCATTCTTTGGCGTGTTTGAGTGTGTGTGTGTGTGTGTGTGTGTGATGAAACTTTACAGGAATCGACTGTTGGAGAATTGGGGAATGCGCAAAGCTGTTAAGTTTGGTAAAGTAACAAATTGACCGGTCTGTGTGTTTCTTCTGCCATCAGAATGACGTGGTGAAGCAGTCGACCATGTCTCCGTCGCTGATAGTTACTCCTCCACCCCCTAATTTAGGCACTTTAGCTAAACTTTTACTTTTCACACGAATCTTCTGACCTTTTCGTCGCCTCGCCAAAAGTGATGCCATTCGGTCGAGTTGATATGTTTACTTCAGGTCCGGTCGAAGAGGGGTCAACTGTTGTTGTCAACATGTTGTCACCCGACAAAAGACATGTTGGCTCTGGCCTTTCAGTCTGCCCACCAGCAGTTGCGGTTGCGGTTGGGGTTGGGAGTGGGAGTGGGGTGTGTTGAGTCGCAGTGACTGGTCTGGAAAAGCCGTGCTCATTGGGCAACATTGGCATCGGGGTTGTTGCTAGTTGTGTCCGAATGCCAGACCCATAGCGACCTGACCCAACTCGAGGCAGTGCGTTGTCGCCTGTTGGTGACGTCGATCGCCGGTCAGGTTCAACACCAGCGTTGTCTGTGTGTCTCCGGCGAAACAGGGCTTCAATAGTTGTGTTAGCCGGCTATTTCGAAAGGGCGCCACCACTTGTCGTTCACTCGAGCTAAGACAGTGCAGCACTTGTCGAAATGCGCCCAATGATCGGTTGATCTCACTCGCCTCCATTCGCCACAGACGTTTCGCTTCAGCTCCTCTCGAGTCGCCACGGCAACTGAACGAACGATTGGGCCGTTTCACTCCACCACGCCGACCAACTGATCCTGAACCGGACGTTGCTAGTTCAGCTTCACCGGCGTCCAGACCGCTGACGGTGTAGCCGGCCAAATCGGCCAAAATAAAAGTGCCCTCAGCCTCCTCCTCCTCCTCCTCTTCCTTGCAGTTCTCGTAATCCTCGTAGTTGCCATGCCTGATTGCCTGACCCGGACCGTCCACGCCTCGTCGCGTCGACGGCGCCGAATCACTGACCGTCTGCGAGTAGGCCCGCGACGACTGATTGCTTCCACTTCGACTCTCCGACCGCACACAGCCGCCATTCAGCCAGCCCGACGTCCAACCGGACGTCGCCTCGGATCGATGACGCAACATCATGATCATGTGTGACCGAGAGGCGTGACGAGCCTGGCCGGCCAGACAGGCCGTCCGTCGGGCGGCGATTGCGGTACGCAACACCTCGACAAAATTGTCGACATGTCGAACGGGACGTTCGAGTTGTCCGACCACATGCATTCTGCGACCGTCGTCACGCATTTGTACATCGCGACCGGACAGCAGACAAGTGACACGTTCATTGTAGACCTCGAGCAGAGACACAGCCAGCCATGATCCGTTGGTCGCGCCTCCGCCGGCTCCGATCAACCAGCCAAAGTCGTGCAGTTGGTGCGCCTCCAACAGCGCCTGTACCACCAGTCCGGCCAGTCCGTCGTGTAGACGCCGGCCGGCCCCGTACAGGCAAGTATGCGTTTTGCCCGTGCCCCGAGGCCCGTAGCAGATGACGGCCGAGCTGCGGCCGCCCGAGAGGTGGCCGGCGACGCGGCGCGCCAGATCGGCCAACTGATCGGCCTCCGGCGAGGCCGAGTGCAGAACCTCGTTGACGTGAAAGAGTCGAACGCTGTGCGCTTCGTTCGGCCTCTCCTCGCCGATCGCCTCGTCCCCGCTCGAGGCTGTACGCGACAACACGCCCACCTCATCCGGCGACGGTACCATAAGGCAACCGGTGGTGTAGCCCGGCGTCCAGTCGGCATCGCCGTTGGCGTTGGCGTCGGCGTTGGTGGCAGGTTGGCGGGTCGGGTGGCTGTAGATGCGGACGAGGACGCGAATGCCGCCTGCCAGGTCTTGCCAACGGTTGAAGAGACGCTTGCAGCGTCGCGCCGTCTCGCGACACGACTCGAGTCTGGCAACTCGTTGGTCGACACGCTCCGTTTGGCCGGTGTTGCTGGCCGTCGCGATCTGCAGTCGGAGACAGGTCTCGGTCACGCGTCGGTGCTGCTGGCGCAGATGCAGAAGACGCGCCTCCGTCTGAAAGGTCAAGCCTTCTTCGTGCGCGATCAAGCGTGTCAATTGACTCAACCGTGCCTGCGCC